ATTATGGGATCTTGTACTTTTACATGATAGGTGGTCTTGGTTCTCATTTTTCCCCTTGTTCCTGCCTTCCCTTCACCCCTTCCTCCTCTTCCCATTAGATTTGAGAGGTTGTTTTCTTTTAGAGTTTAAAATACTTCACTCCAGTCTTATCATGACTTGAGGGTTTTTGTTGAGAAGTCTGCTATGATTCTGATGGGCTTTCCTTTACAAGGAACTTGTTTGTTTTTTCTAACTACTTCTTGTATTTTTTTCCCTGTTGGAATCTTGACTATTATACACCTATGGGTAGATGTTTTGATCATGGCTAGTTGGAGTCCTACATGCCTCAATTATCTATATGATAAAAAATTTTCTCCTCCTTGGGATATGTTCTGTCATTACATCAGTGAAAATTATTTTTATGCCATTTGTAACATTTCCTTTTTCTTCAATGACTCCCATCAGCCTTATTTTATTCTTCTTTGCAATATCTTACAGCTGCCAGGATACCTTTCTCATCATCCCTTGCTATTTTTATGAAAATATTTTTTACTGGTCACTAACTATAGTCCTGCCTTCTATATTTGGTATTCTGTTCTCATATTGGGTCATTCTGCTGCAGAAACTTCCAATGGGGTTTCTAATCTCCTGAATTTGTTTTTATTTTACGGATTGAATTTCTTCATTCTTCTGGCAATCTATCATGTTCCTCAGTGCCTCCATTTTTAAAATCTGTTTCTGCTCTTGAGTTATTAATCACGTCTTTCACTTTGGACACAATCTCTCTAGTTTTCTAAGAAATATTTTCTAATTTTACTCTTTCAGATCCTCTTTTCTTGCCATTTCAGGGAATCCAAATGGCTGAGTTTCACATTGCCCTTCGGTGTTGGCCTTTGGTGCTCTAGAAGTCTGTATTTTTGTCTTGTTTATGTTTCTTCCAATTTCAACTGATGCAGTCTGCTGTACCTTTATTGTGGTGACTGCACTTCCAGTGGGCTTCAATTCTCAAAAAGCCAAAGAGGCCTCCTTTCTGCTGTTCAACCATGTGCCAATTCCTGGGTTCAAAATGATTGCCTTCTATATACCCTTGCTTCTGGATGGGTTTCTTGTTGGCACCTGAGTGCAGCTATAGGTGATATATGGGTGGGCCTCTGGCTGGGGCCTGCTGCATAGCTGTTGAAAGTATGGGCCCTTGGCTGGACCTGTGCACCCTGAAAGCTGTTGTCTGATTGGGCTTTTGCCTGAGGTCTCTGGGCATTTGTCCATGGTGTCTGGGCAGGTCTGATGCTCTAGCCTGTATATCTGCACTGCTGCTGTCTGGGTGAGTTTCTGCTTGGGCCCTGCATGCCCATAATACTGATTCCAGGCAGGATTTTGGCTGGGGTCTGTGTGATCTTACTGATGGCATCTAGGCATGAAAGATTTATTTTGACTCTCACTTTGTAGTGGTTTCAGAGCAGTGAGCTGGCTCTGAGGCAGAACAAGAATGGCAGAAGCAACTAGGCAGAGGAAAACAAGTTGTGTTCAAGGGAGGAGGTGTATGGTAGATCTCCCTTCCTGACCACAGTGACCCCACCTCTTCCAAACAAAGTCAACCACCTAAGAGCAAGTCAGCCATGATGACTCCATAATCCAATCTCATTTCAAAACATGCACTTTTGAGTTCATGAAGCTTTGAGGAGGGCATTCAGATATAAATCTCAAGTACTGCTGTCTGTCTATTATATTTTCTTTTATTTATTTAAAGGTATGAAGAGAAGGAACAGAATGTAAAAAGAATTAAGATGTGTTGTGAAAAAAAACTAACACTACAGGTGAATTTTAATGATATGTATAACAAACATACTAAAAAGAATAATACAAAATAATAAAAATAAGTAAGGTAAACATTATGAGTAGTAAAACATAGCAGCCATAGTAGAGTGGTTATTAAATAATCCATAAATCTTCCAATGTTTTAAGGCTGTTTATCACAGTAGATTTTTTTCTAGGATTGCATCACTGCAGAAATTACACTTTGTTTAAAGTGAGTTTTGTGATTTCGAAATCAAATTAAAGAATAAAAGTATCTACTTCAAGGAAATAGACTTATCTCACTCTATGCTACCTGAATAGTTCCAAAATTTAAAATAAATTATTCCATTCAGCATCCTGTTTTGCACCCCCGAGAGGGCAGAAATGTTTGGATAATGAAAAGGTAGTAGACTAATTTACTTAATTAGGAGCTCTGAGAATTCAAACCCTGAAATGCTACAAACTATAAACTCATTCCTGTGGCACACCCCAGAAATTCTCTGATCTCAGCATCTGTGAAAACATAAAGGGGCCTCCTAGGGACAGATCATGGAGGAAAACCACTGGAGAAAATCACGTGTGCTACTGAGGGCAGGTGGTGTTTGAAATGTGACACAAGGTGGGTATTGGGCTTTTCCTCTAGAATAATGATGCTGAGAAATCATAATATTGCTTTAGCCTGTGAAGGTGATGTGTCTGTATTTGAAGGAAATTTAGTTTCTATTGACACTTGTCATTTTCACACATTCAGATTCCTTTTCTCCTTCTGAATGCTAGAGTCTTTTTCCAATATGAATTATTTTCTAGAATATTTTATGGAATTATTTGCTCTTAATTTTAAGTTGTGCCTTTCTGTTATATTTCCTTCATTCAAACATTTATTCATAAGCCATTGAAACCCTATTCTGAATAAGGTATTTTCTATTTATTTTGTTCAAGGTGGAGTTATTTCTCTATTTTCCAAGGCAGATTCTACATCCTCAAAGCCTTTATTCATTGCATGTTACTGGGGTTATCATTTTATCGTTCTATTCATAATAACATACAAATACGATAATTTTTTCTGATATTTAATAACTATTTTAAAACCCTTTTATCATATTCCTGAGCCATTTTCATATTGAGTAAAATACTGAATTATTATTGTTTCAGATATTGTTTTGGTGTTTTCATTAAATTAACACAAATATTCTAGTGTTTTCATTTAATATTTCCTCCAGGCTCTGTTTGGAGAATAACCATCGTCTATTGAGCTAGCAAATTTTTTTTTAATTTGTTTGTTTACTCAGTCTTCGTGCTGCGTACTAATCACATTAATGCCTGTTAAATTTACTGAAGCTTGATTTCATATTGTAGCTATGTCTGGGAATTTTATTCATTGATATATTTAGTGATAAATCATATTAACCATCATCCTTGTGTTAAGAAACCTTCCTTCCATTCATACAATTGTTTTTCCTCACTCATAATTTGTTACTCTTTTAAAATAGCTGTGGCTGGATTTTACTACTCAGTTTTTGATTTATGTTTAGGCCTCTGATCATCTTGAGTATTTATTATTGCATTATAGCAATTATCATTTTGATATATATTAAATATAGGCATTTAACCGGAACAAATGGAACAGATTCCCTCTAAGTCCCAGGCAAGACAATGTTGATCAAAACATTTAAACCCTCAGTGCCACAAATAACAGAATATTCTCTTTTCCTATACTTACCTCAGTGTCTGATAAAGAAATCACAACTTCTGTTCCCACAACATTGACTACTACTTCTTTCCTCTCCTCCTCTGATTGGCAATGACACATCCCATCTCTCTGAGATTAAAATTGCTGCCTTAAGGAAGACTCTCCTATTCAACATGACAGAACAACTATGGTGGATGATGCTTTCTATCTTGAATTAATTAACATTCTCTAGTCATTCATAATACTGAGACTTCATGTCAGGCAGTATGTAAAAGTTCATTGCAAATTTTGCTTTAAAATTATACTCTTTACAGATAGTTTTATTTGTATAATTTTGTTGTGTTTTTTTTTAAACTAATCAGTGCATACTTTGACCATTACAGATACTAATAACACAATACATTCTGATTCCAGAGCATGGAAAAATAAGCACATTTTTATTTGATTTTTCTTATTTTCATCAGATATTTTTCTCTAATTTTATCTATGTAACCCACATACAGTTTTGTACTTGGGAGAATTTCCTGGAGATGTATTCTGTGAAAAAATAGTCACATTAATTATCTTTCATTACAAAAGCAGTATAGCATCCAAAAGCAGTGAGATGCCTGGTTTGTTTACAGTGATTAGAATTCCACTTATATCAGCTCCATAGACTGAAGGGAGATAGGTAAATGAAAGTTATCTGAAACATTTTCATTGAGGAGCAAAAAACAGAAGTTCATGTTTAGGAAGGGACCATTTTATTACATAAGCAATAATACACTTACATGAAGGCATTCAATTTTGCTTTTGCCCTAATGTGAAGTGAATATTTAATACTCCTACTGTAAATGTGATGTATTTGCACTTGAGTTTAATTTCTTTTCTGAATATCAAAAGTGTTTTAATTTCCAGCATTGTGATCCAGGAACTCTTACTGAATGGTCAAGTTTTTACATCACCCCTATTTATTCTGTGTTGCCCCAAAGTGAAACCTAACTGAAAACTAATCATTCTAGAAAACTGCTGATCAAAAATGAGAGCCTCAACAGCCCTGCCTTATCAGCATAAGGGAACAACTACTGGCCAAGAGAATAGTGGGATTTACTCTTCCTGATTCTGGGTATCATCATTAAAATAACCAATGCTCACTTTCTGGTTAGTTCTTATCTTGCAGGAGGCACTGGCCAGTTATACCTTGGCAGAGACATATCCAAAGCAACTATGATGAACAAGAGAAAATTGATAATATAACACGTTTTACTAATAATGTAAGAAGTTTTAATAAGTAATCATACTGTAACAAGTAGCTTTAATAACTGTCATTTATTAAGACTATTTATTAAGTCAGTTTTGAGCAAAGCAACATGTCAATTATTATGAATTTTAAAATGAAATTAATTGCAAATTGGCTGCAGGAGCCACTGTCATTGACTCAGTAGCAGGTGAAGGAGGTCAATCCAGAGGTGATAATGTTAAAGGTGACTGTCTGTCTTTCAGGTTCTATTAATTGAATGTTGCTATTTCTTCCTGCTCTGTAAGACAAACCAGTGACATGAAAGGAAAAAATCACACAGATGCATCACAATTTCTTCTGCTGGGCCTCACAGATGATCCTGTACTGCAGCCCTTTCTCTTTGGTCTGTTCCTGTCCATGTACCTGGTCACCGTGCTCGGGAATCTGCTCATCATACTGGCCATCAGCTTTGACTCCCACCTCCATACTCCGATGTACTTCTTCCTCTCCAACCTGTCCTTTGTGGACATCTGTTTCACCTCCACCACCATCCCAAAGATGCTGGTGAACATTCAGACATACAATAAAGGTATTACCTACACAGAGTGCTTCATTCAGGTGTATTTTTTTATGATTTTTGTGGGGATGGATAATTTCCTGCTGACAGTGATGGCTTATGACCGATTTGTGGCCATCTGCCATCCCCTGAAATACATGATCATCATGACACCTTGGCTATGTATCCTGCTCGTTCTGGTGTCCTGGATCATCATTTTCTTCTTTGCCCTTCTTCATATTCTCCTGCTGATGCAACTGAAATTCTCTATTGGAACTGAAATCCCACATTTCTTCTGTGAACTGGCTATACTTATTAAAGTGGCCACTTTAGATATCCTTGTCCATGTCAATATCATCATAATGTATGTGTCACTTATTCTGTCAGTTGTGTGTCCCACGACTGGGATTCTCTTCTCTTATTCTCAGATTTTATCCTCTTTAGTGAGGATGTCCTCCACTATAAGCAGGTATAGAGCATTTTCCACCTGTGGGTCTCACCTCTGTGTGGTCTCCTTGTTCTATGGAACAGGACTTGGGGTGTACCTCAGTTCAGCTGTGAACCATTCTTCCCATGAAAGCTCTGCTGCCTCTGTGATATACACTGTGGTGACCCCCATGCTGAACCCTTTCATCTACAGCCTGAGGAACAAGGATGTGAAGGATGCCCTGGGGAGACTTCTCAACAGAGCAGACTCTCATCCTTGATTATCCACTCACTTCCCAAACAGGGTGTCATTGTGTGAACTTAGGAATGCTGAGAATTTTTACATATTACATGCTGTTTTTTTCTGGAGTATATTCTGTGTCTAATTTCTTATATTTCCAAAGCACCAATAAGTGTTATTGAGTACTTTTGCATTTGTTTCCCTTAAATATCTTCCTTAGTACTTTTTTCTTTATACATGATTTATGAAGATTCACAGTTGTGACTAAGGGACATTTCTGAGACTTCAACATGATGGAAGACAAGCACATCAAGTGCTTGTCTGGTATTCTCAAAATATTGTATGGATACCAAAGTTCTTAAATGTATTTGTTTTGTTAATGTTCTTTTCTGGAGGATATAGAGTAAAAAGTAGCAAATCAATACGTTTCCCATATCAAGACTACACTTGACTCTTTATATGTATGAATATATAGTACTGATAATATTTATTTGAAATATTTCTCAAATTCACCAAATTTCTGAACAGAAGACTCAGACAAGTATGGACCCTAATTGGTATCTTACACTGATGACACGCTCCTTTGTTTGCTGTCCTACTTTTTCATAAAATCAATTATAATTTAAAATAATTATATTTTAATAATTTATATTATGTTTTAATATAATTTTAATAATTATATTAATTTAATAATAATTATACTATTAAAATATAAAATGATTATAATTTAAAAGTAGAAATCTTCCTTTGTATTCAAGCTTACACACTTTACTCATAATGATATAGTGCCTTGAGAATTCTTAAATACTCTGTGACTTGCCCTTATTCACATCTATTTCTGTCCTTCTTCCCTTCTTCTTTTTACCTTCCTTCCCATTCATCTTTATCTAATACTTTTCTTGCTTACCTTCCTTATTTCCTCTTTCCTTCTCCTTCTCCTTCCTTTGGACATTTATTTGAGGATGTCTACTGGCTGCATTTCTCTTTTCAGGAGGAGTAATATTGTAACGTGTATATCCACAAGCTGTTTATCCATTCACCAATTTCTGGACATGTGGATTAGTTCCATTTTTTGAATATTGTGAACAGTGCTGAGATAGATGTGCATACAAATTTATTCATTTGAGTATATTCAGACAAATACATTTGTATTAGTTTCTCTTAAACAACATAATGCTGCTTCAGCCTATGACAGACAGGATGTGCTGTGATCACTGGGAAACAGTGATGGCAAACCTTTTAGAGCTTTCAGTGATACAAGCAGCTCACTATGGCATGCATGGCACATGTTCACCACCACTGTCCTAAAGCTCTGTTTTGCTCAGTGATGTCCTAGTCAAATTTGCTTGTGTCATCATGCACTATGACATTCACACAATGACAAAATCACCTAACAAGTGTTTTTTCAGAACTTAGTTGTTAATCATCAAATGACTATACATGTTTTTAATATTAATGTATATGGAAATTTAACTAACTGATGGATTGTTTTATATCTTTGAGAATAGCCAAACCTTTTTTTACATTGCAATGCATAAAGTTTCTAACAGGTTCCCATTATTAATTTTAAATTTTTTATTTAATCAAAATAATAGCCTTCTACTGGGTGTTGTAGTAGTCAGATTTCCTGACACTCTCACCCACAACTTAAAAGAAAACACATTTAATTTGGCTCATTCTCCAGGAATTCCTGTCCATGATTGCCTGACTTTAGAGAAGAGATATGGTGGAAGGGCATGTTGGAGCAAAGCTGCTTAGTTTATGTCTCCAGGGAAGCAGAGCAGGGGATAAGTGTCAGAAAGGGAGAGAGTGCATAATTGGTACTCAAAGCCATGTCTCTGTGACCCCATCAGAGACATCCAGAAATGTGCTCCACCAGTTCTGTGGGAGGCTCCCAAGCCAATCAAGTTGACACAGATGTGAAATAGTGACAAATTATACTTTTGCATTGAGTTTATTCATGATTAAACATTTTTCGCAAGTGCTTGCTGGAAATTTCATTGCTTTATATGCAGAAATGTCATTAAATTTTTGATCATTTGACAATAGTGTACTGTGTTCTTTATCTTCTGATGTATAAGATTTCTTTATAAATTCGGAATTCACAACCCTTATCAGAGGTGTTTTCAAATACCTCCTCATGTGTGTTATTTTTATATATCAAGTACATTTATCATTGTAAACCACACTAATCAACTAATGATATACATTAGACCTCTTAAAATTTTTCTCCTCTCTAAACAAAACCTTAGATCTTTTAATGAAGATTTATCCAATTCCATGACTCACAGTTGCTACATCCCACCATTTTCACTTGATTTTTATGAGTTTGAATATTTCATATTCCACATTTGATCTCCTCTATTATCTTTCAAAATCTGCTTCATTTCTCTTAACAGAATGTTGCAAAAGATCACGAAGTTGTTCAAAATAATGTTTTCTCTTTTATCAGTTAAGTTTATTAGTATATTTTAGGTGTATGAATCATTGAGTATTTAGACCTTAAAATTATATTGTGTTCTTTTTCATTTAATTAATTCATTAAATAATTAATTTGATAGTGGGGATCAAACTCGGGCCCTTGTGCTTGCAAGGCAGGTGGCGAAACCACTGAGCTAAATCCCTGGCCTGATACTGTGTTCTTATTTTTCCCTGTTCTCCTGCCCTCCCTTCCACCCCTCCATACTTACAAAAACTTTGCTTCCATTTTCTTCTTATTCTCATATTTATTCCTTTCTGTCTCATATTTATTTCTTTCCTTTACACTACTGCTCTCACTTCCCCTTTGGGATTTATCTTCCTATTTCCTATTATCTGTGATATATTTTGATCCTTATTTACACTTTCACTTTCTTACATCAGATAAAATATTCAGTATTTGCCCGTATGTGATTGCTATTTATTTCACTTAAGAGCATGGCCTCAGTGGGCATCCATTTAGCTTTAAGTTGCTCTGGTTTCTCATTATTTTTGGGTGAGCAAAACAGAAATCCTATTTTTACATTTATTGGCTGATGGACATTAGGGTTATTTCTAAGTTTTAGCTATTACAAACTGTGCAGCTATAAACATGAGTATTCATATATTGCTGTGGTAGGGCGATTTTAATTCTTTCATGGAGATAACAAGAAGGAGAACTGCTGGGTCAAATGAAACCTCTCATTTTAGCATTTTGAGGAATTGCCACATTTTCACAGCAGTTGCACCAGTATGTACCCCCACCAACAGTGGAAAAGGGTGATTTTTATTCCACACACACATCTTAGCTGATATTTTTTACTTCTTCTTAAAAGAAGACAAGTGATAGGTCATTATGGCTTATTTTATATCACGCTGCAGGGAGAAGGCCATATGGGCCAGAGCTGCTCATGGGTGCTCAGAACTCATATCAAACTTCCTGAATATGAAACTGACACTCAATAAAGTTTTAAGCAATATCTTAGTAAAAGTCAATGAGGTTCAAAAGCTCATGAAACCCAGCAGAATGAATCTATCATGCACAACATGAAATTATGTGCAATGGGGGAGAGTCCAGCAACAAGAAAATGTCATGATAAGGAAAAGTCGAGACAAATCAGTTATAAACATCAATGTTAATATTCTCAATACACCAATCAAAAGAATTAGACTGGCAGAATGCACCAAGAAGCAAGATCCAACCATATGCTGCATAAAAGAAGCACACATAATTTAAAAAGAAACTCATAAACTGAAGTCAAAGGATGGAAAACTGTAACCCATGTAACAGGAACCTAATAAAAGCACAAATAGCTATCCTATGTGCAGATAAAATGGATTTCAAACCAACACTAATTAAGAAACACAAAGAAAGTGAGTTCATCCTTGTAAAGGTAATAATCCAAGAGGAAGATATGATAATCATAAATATATGTGTACCAAATACTAGTGAAACAAATGCTAACAGATATGAAAATCATAAAAGCACTAATACAATGATAGCAGGGGAGCTCAGTACCACACAGTAATAAACAGATAGATCAACTTGACAGAAAATAAACAAGAAAATACTAGAACTCAGTCTAACTCTTGATTAAATGTACCTAACAAATGTTTATAGAGATTTCCACTCCACGACATCGGAAATATACATTCTTTTCAGCTGCACATGGCTTGTTCTCCAAAATATACCACATACTTGCTCATAGAATATGTTTAAGTAAGTATAGGTAATTGAAGCTATTCCCCGATATTTTATCACACCACAGTGTGATGAATTTGGAGATCAAGAACAAAATAAACAGAGTTTTATATGCATGGAAACTGAACAATACAATTCTGAATAACCAGTGGGTTACATGGAAAAGTAAAGAAAACTGAGTTCGATCCCCAGTAACAAAAAAAATAAATAAATAAAATAAAATAAAAGAAGCAGAAAAGTAAAGAAAAACTAAGATGGTTTCTAAATTAAATGGCAATCCCAGTACAACATATTGGAATCCATGTGACATTATGAAAGCAGTCTTACTAGGGAAAAACATGGCAGTGAACACTCATATTAGAGAAGCAGAGATAGCTTAAATAAACAACTTGATGCTGAACATGACTTCTAGGAAAGAAAAGAGCAGTAGAAAACCAAACCTCATGCAAGGGGGGGGATTATAAAGATCAGAGGAGAAATCAATGCAAGGGGAACAAGAGATGACACAAAAAATCAATGAAATAAATAGTTCTTCAAAAGAATAAACAAAATTGACAAACTCGTAGACAACCTTCACAAAAAAAGGAAAGACACAAATCCACGCAGTTACAAATGAAAGGGGTAAAATTAAAATGGACCCAGCAGAAATCCAGAGGAACATCAATGCCTACTTCTAGAACCTATATGCCAATAAGATGGAATATACATAACAAATAGACAGATTCCTAGATATATAAGAATTACCAAAGTTGAATGAAGAAGATCTAAAAATTCTAAACAACCCCATGTCAATCAACAAAATTGAAAATATAATTCAAAATTTACCAACAAAGAAAGGTTCAAGACCTGATAACAATAAATTTCATTCTCATATGGGAAAA